TGTTTCTGGGTGTTCTTCGTGTAGGATAGGAATGAAAGTGTACAGAATGAGAATTTGTAATAGAGGCTGTGTCTTGTAGCTGTGTGTGGTAGGGAACTTGAGATTAATTGGCTTGTTTTGTGTTTTACAACTTCTGATCAAAGGAGGGGTGAGGCTGGGCTGTATTGTTTGCAGGGAGGAATGACGACTCTGTGAAGCCCAATACATTTCTGTTCCTTGTCTAGAAAAAATAGGTTTTTTCTGTACTGTTTGTCAGAATACCACTGAAAGTTTCCACAAGATCAGGAGCTCAGGTTGATTGTGTCTAGAACTGATTATTTGGTTCCTACTTTTCTTTGGTCCCCAAAGTTTTTGGTAGTGGCTCTACATTCGTAGTTGATTATAATCTATGGAAGGCACTTTTCTTTTCTTCATGGGTATCTGTGATCAAAACAAATGACATTTTGTACTGACATTATGAACAAAAACGAAGGTATATTGGTCATCGGGACTCTTGAACCATTCATGAATATACACAGTGGCTATGCTTCCTCAAAGCTTTTGTACTGTTCTGGACAGGAAGTTTTTAATGTCGTTTTAGGGTCATCTCTTAAAACGCTGCTTGTGTGGTATGTTTTTGGGTTAGTGTTTGACCCAAGCTGACCCAAGAATGTCCCTCAGTTTTTTTGTGGAAAGGGCTTGGGCTTAGGTAAGTCAGATACTCTGACCAAGTTCTTTTAGATATACACACATGGAGGGTGTGGTGTTTAATATTAAATTCACTTACCTGAAGGTAGTTGATGTTACAGATTGACTTCTAATTAAGCAGAGTTATACAAAAGATACTGAAATCACAATGCACATGCAAGCAAAACTTAGCAAAATACAGCAATTGCAATGTACAGTTTGAACACAAGACTGATGTGATCCCCATTACTGGTCTCTAAAATATGATCACCATCATGATGTTGGGCGTGCTCAGTCACCAGGAAGGAATATGTGGGTTGAAGCCAGCTTAAGCACGTTGCTCTTTTTGAAATGCCCTTGTTAGTAGTTTACTTTTTGTACTCTGTATTGGGCTGAGTCACACATTCATTCCCCCATGCTGGGCTGGCTAATGCAGGAAGACATTCACTTTTTTAATGAACTCAGGGAGACACATTTACACCACTGGTTGATTCACTCAGCTGCTGTGTAGTCAGATGATCTGCTTAACTGCCACAGCTGTTTGTGTCAAACAAAGGCCACCCTCTGGAGCCTTTGTGCTGAGATGAAGTCAGCTTCTCTGCGCCAGCTGTGGTCACTCACACCCTTCATTGTGCCAGGCTTCGTGGGCACCATGCCCTTGCTCATCTCCACCAAGCTGCCTTCATTTCGAGGGTTTACGGGTCAGTTGCTGGCGTGGAACGATCATCAAATACTGCCGTGGGTGTCTTTGCAGAAAAGCTCAGACTCATTCGAGACAGCAAACCCTGCTTATTCTAGACATTGTCATTCTTTGGCGATGATGGCTCTTTTTTTTTAACTGTATTTTTAGTTTGCTTTTTACTGTGCAGTGTGCATGGCATGAAGAGGTAGGAAGATACCACGCAGTGTGTCCAGGCTTCAGGTTGGCATATATGCATGCTTAAGTATTTTCTGTATCATGTAAAGCATTTTACATTCCACATTTAATGCATTTCTGAGCACAGGGGCATTTATTAAATTGAAGAGGAGCAACAGACTGGAAGTTCAAATTACTCTGTGTAATGTAGTTTTTGTAATTGGATACACAGGGTATGCAGTGGAAATGGTGTGAGTCACTTGCACGGCGACAGTCATTCCGCATATCCAGCTCTGCTGCTCTGAACAGCTCTGCTCTTGTTCACTTGCTGATACTGCTCTTTGCTACTGACTGGTGTTGAGCAGAAGGGTGGTATAGCAAGCAAATTATTTCTTTGTTGCGGTGCTAGGATTTTTTCCATATTTGTCTGAAGTGCTACCCTGGCCGAAATTGTTGCTGTGACGTTTCGTTGTTGTAGGAGCGGTGATGATCTTATGTCTAACGCAGTTTTCAAGAGTACGTTTGGAATGTTGCGAATTATGGAACTTTAGAGTCATCAAATGCTAGTTTGTAGCACTTCAGTACTAATTCTGCCCTCTACTGTATCTCCACAAGGTGGGAAAAAGTAGAAATGTATTGGAACATACTGCTGTAATGCAGCAGTGGGTGCAAATTTAACATTGTGTGGACAGCTTCGTTATGGTGCAGCCTGACTGGCAGATACTATATTTTGTAATCTCTTTTTCCTTTGCATGCAGGATTTTTCGAAGTGATTTTCTACTTACTAAAAATAAAAATAAAAATCCACCTTTTATGTGCCTCATAGGAGTCTGTTCTCAGCACAGTGGCCACTTTCAACCGTATTTGGTTAAGGGGCAGAGTTCTCACAGTTCTCATCACAGCCTGTAACAGGGTAGGAAAGGACAACGTGTGTCAGTGTGCCCCCCATCTGTACCTGCCCGGTACCGTCCTCTAATTGGCAAGTCTCATGTTGTTGCCAGGCTCACGGACCCCATTTAGGTTGCTGATTGGTGAATGTGTGTGTGCTGTGTTCAGGTAGCACAGGAGGAAGTGTCCGTCTGTCTGGCATGTAGAATGGGTGGGCAGATGCAAACAAAACTCCTCATAGCTTAGGGAACAGGTAGCAGACTGGAGCTGTTATGTTAAGAGAGCAAGGGTAAGGCTTGAGATGGTGCATTGGGAAATACGGTGGGGAGGGAGGTTGCTAGGGCCTGTCTGGGTGCCTTCATCACTAGGAAGCAGGGCTTTACCCCTGTTGCTAATAGAGGAATTATTTACTCTTCTTTATCTGGCTGCTCTGCCAACTCCATAGGCTTCTATAATATCCATAACTTACTTTAAATAGCATCATCTAAATCTCTCCACAATAAAAAGCCTAAACTTCAGTTTGTACTTTTCCTTGGTCAGAAACTGTTCTCCAATTCTGTTGTCGCCCACTGTTAGTGTGGGGAAGGGGAACAACTGAAGTGTATGTGAGACAAGGATCAAATGTGTAACCTTTAGTTTAAGATTAGCGTTGTATGATACGATTATGGGCCGTATAGTATGATAAAATTGTGCAAAATGTCCATTTCCCTTATAATAATAGTGGTCCAAAAATACAAATTTTTAAAGGGTAGTATTTTCAGCAGAGGATATTATTAAATGGGGACAAGACTACCATTTTGAACATGTGGAGAGCCTGAAACTGATTTTGGAGATGATAGCTCTGTCCTCTACTGTCATTGTGTAAATGAAAATTATGACCCATCAGTTAGAGTTTTATTTCCTTGCTTTTTTCAGTTCAGTAAAAGAAAAGGATATAGGGGAGCGGCACTGGGGAGCTGGGCATTTGGGAATATTCCATGAGACAATCTGAAGGGTAATTGAGATAGGGAAGAACAGGACAGCAGTAACACAAGCTAAAGACTGTAAGCTAAGTATTTTTTCCTCTTTGTATGGTTTCTTAGTATAATACCAGCTGAAATCTAAGCGCAGTTAATGTGTTTTTAGTGAAGGAAGCAGAATCTTAATGATAGCCTATATGCAAGGAGGATAAAGTGAAATACGGTGTCATCTGTCCTGTGAGTGAGACAGTCCCATCATTGTTTTTTTTCTAAAAACCAACAAACCAAAACAAGAAGGCGTAGCATGTGAATAGTTGTTCTGAACTGCGGAAGTGCAGCTCAGTGTAGATCAGATAGGGGCTGTATCCAAAAATACACAGAAGCTGCAGCGTTTGGCTGAAACTTGCGATGTGACTTCTCCAGCCTGCCTTTCTGTATTGCATTCCTACAATGGCACTTCAAAGTTACTGCTTTTAAATTATATTTTATTGTTTAAATATTGCAGTTTCTTGCCTTCCAGGCTCTTTTGATACACCTGGTTTAGGTCACCTGGGGAAGGAGCTCTTAGGATTTCTTTATTTGGTTTATTTCATTGTGCAGAGGTGTTCAGTATGAAGTACTGTAACAGGATTTGTCATGTGGCATTACTGAGTTGCCGGTCACCTTCTCTATTTATTTGCAGACTGTGCAATAGTCCTGAGTTAAACTGCAAACCTAAAGTGAATTTCATAAATAATGGCAAATTTGGGAGCAGTCGTGCTTGTTCTAAACATTCACCCATGGAAATTGATTTATAAGAGTTTTCCCACTAGAGGGCACTAACATCCCATGAAATTTAAGCCCAAACCATTTTTTATTCTCTCTGTAACTCTTAGGTGTTGGGAAGTCTCACTGGTTTTATAGTAGCTGCCAAAAGTTTCCCTTTCTTTGTAGCCTTTTCTCTGTAGAACTGAAAACTAAAAGTTATAGCATTCTTACAAGGATGCATTAAAAGTTAGTGTGTGGAGTTTTCTCTTGGTTGTGTTTTTTTACAAAACAATAATTTGGGTAATTTGTGGAGAAAAGTGTAAGTTCCATTTGTACTCTTAAATTGCTTTTAATGTAATCTTCACTTGAAGCTGGTGAATAGGCATATAAGAGAGGAAACTACTGAATAACGTTTTTCTTAAAAGATATCTAATAGAGTGAACATCTGGAATATACTTTTTAAAGCTGGTAATCAAAGGAAAAGATTCATATGTGAACAGATGTGGCATGCCGAACTTTAGGTTAGCATTAATGCATACACTTACACATTGAAACCCGGCGTATAGAATATAGTATGGAAAAGAATATGAAAGCCTACGCTGCCAGTAAGTAATGGATTGCAGTGGAACCTTCAGTTGTTTGTCTTGTGATGCTTTTAAGTAGGGAATTTTGGAATATGTGTCCAAATCCAAAGTTCAGACCTCAAAGTGATGTAGCCATTTTGGAAGTACTTTATTTTTGTTACGGATTTAAGATACTGAATCTGTTCAAAACAAGTGACAGAAATGACTTGTGATTCCTTTTTGCAGGAATGGTTATTCAGCTGCCTTGGAGATGATCCTGCTGCTGTAGATGTAGGGCCAAAGATTAATGGTGTGGGCAGTATGGACCTAACGAACGGACAGTCAAGCAGTGTTAATATTGCAGCTACTGCTTCAGAGGTAAGGATTGAAAAACTCAGTTGTTGCATACCTAAGACCGTAAGTACTCCATTTTTTCTAAGTGCATCAAAAGTTAGTTTTTCTTCTGATTTCATGCAGCAGATTCCTGATTTCTGTGTTGGTTTCATGTGAATAACTGAAAGTTCTGACCTTTTTATACCAAAATAAAGCATGAGCTACCATTTACAGCCTTGCCGTAGCTGAAGGTACCTTTTTTATGTTCTCTGCCATCGCAGCTAGGCAAGAAAGCTTTTTCTTTTCAAGTTCTAACTTTAATAGATGCTCTCAGTGCAATAAACTGGGCTGGCAAGGCCTGTGGGAAATGCTCTCTCCTTTGACAGGTACTTGTGTGTGTGTATGTGTGTGTGTGTGTGTGTGTGTGTGTGGAGGGGCAGTGTGCCTCAGTAGCACTGGAATAAGGTTTTTCCCTTTGTCTCTCACACTATATTCAGGCGTTGGTGTGGGTCCCCTCCTGCCCACTGCAGTTCCTGCCCCCGAGAAGTGAACAACTCATAAGTTGTTAGCTTTTATGTCAGCCAGGCGATGGAGTTTGGCGTCCTATGATGCCTCTTATTTTGAAGTTAAGACGGTTTTCTGTGTTTTCCGTTTGTCACCTACTTACGAAAAAGGGGTGGGAGGACGTTAGTACCAGAACCGAGTTCCTTTTGCCAGGATCATGTGAGGAGCTGCTGAGAGTTGTGACTGATTCCTAAATACTTAGCAGTGTTGGAGGGTTTGCAAGACCTAGTTGGTTTGTTTTTTGTAGTTTTAGTTTTATTTTCCAGAACTCTTGCAAATCACATGCTCTTCAAGTTTTTTTTTGTTAATGGCTTGTAGTACTGGGATGAAGGGAGCTGAAAATCTGCCTCCAGTACACATTGAGTGATCGTTCCAGATGCGTTGTTTGCCGTTTTTCTTTGGCGTCACTGAATATATCGTTTGGCTTGTACAGGTGTACAGATCTAACCTAAGCTTTCTGCTCAGGGGAGGCAGTTACTTTATTGCTGATGCATTTTATTCTTAGTGCTTCTGCCACAGTGTGAAACATGTTTTTACCGTAGTGGATTTCAGTTTCTTGTTTTCTTCTTCATTTGTCTTTGGTTTGAAAGACAAGGTATTCAAGAACACTACAAAATCAGAAGTGATGAGAGCCATAAAATCCTGAAAACAGTTGCTTCCTTGAATGAATCTTTGCACCTTGCTAGAGGTGTTCACTTTATTTATATATTTAAACATGTTTTTGTGGGAGGGCTGCATGTGTGCCATGCAATTGCATGTGCAAATGGCAAGTACCACAAACAAGGTGAAAGGAAAACTGGAATACTGTGTTATCAAAAGGAACGAAATAATCTGTAGCACAATTTCACAAGGATTGTCAAGATCTAAACAAGAAAGCTGGCATCAGTCTCCAGGACCACTGATTGTTTTTATACAGATTCTTGTACTTCCCTTATCATCGTATTATGAATCATTGATTGACCATTTGTCAGCATGCAGCTGAAAAATGTTCTTGGAGGAAAGCTCTTTTTTTACTTGGCAAGGCAGTCTTGAATGTTTACGCGTTGTCCGATAAAAACTGAGTGCAATATATATATTGGCAAAGTTACATGAATCTGCTTTCAGCAAGTGGAGGTTTTTTCCCCTTATCTTGACTAACACGAGGGAGGGAGGACTTGTAACTGAAGTGTTTCTGTAAATATGTTGGTTACTGAACATGCCTGTCTGGGCTGGAGCTTTTGCTGGTGTTTTCAAACACAGGTTTTTCAGAGAGTTGGCATTGTTAGAATAACCTAACTAAAACCAGGCATGATTATGAACAGAATACATATTTTCATTATTTGTCCTTATCACAAAACTGCTTAAAAGTGAACGTGGCTGAACTCAAGGAGTTCAAATGCTCTTGTTTCTGTGAGTGGGAAACCAAAGTCAATACATAGCGCAGCTCTAAATTACTGCCTTGTTAGGCTTTCAGAAGACATTAGCACAGTACAAGTGTTTGCCAGCATCAGTGACTGTGTGCTGTCTTTCTTCCTGCTTTGGCATCAGCAGACGTGATCCACATGTTACTGACAGTGCAGTGGAATGGTGCTGAAATTTGGCTTCCACCAGAAGCGATCTGGTGAAGTGGTTGTTCATGAGCGTCTTGTGTGTGTGACCCACAGCCATGGTCTTGAAAACTTTCAACTTTAGCAGTAAAATTACACAAAAATTACCCTTCATTATGTGGGCCAGAGTCTAATCTTTTCAGCTTTCTAAGAGATCAGTTCCCCTGCAATGGTGATTAGGATCGAGTGCTTGAGGATACGCCGGTCTCCAGCGTAGGATTGGGCAGGTTTTGGGTTGTGCTCAGTGTGTTTTGCTGCAGCTCTACCAATAGCAGTTTTCTTTCTCTCAAATCTCTCTGAACAAAGTATTAACAAAAGCGTCATGGAAGCTCTGTTAGTGCTTCCATCGAGGCTGTGCCATTGCTGAAGCGTGCAGGTGCCATGCTGTACTTCAGGCATTGAATTTGATACAGTTATTGACTGTAGTAACTGTGGTCCTTCATGATGGTGTGTCTCAACTTATTTCTTACTTTTTAGTTGAGAATTTGCTTTACATTGGGTTTCTGAAAGTGAGAAGAAACTTGAGAAGCAAGAAACATGCTTAGTCTTTCAGGTTTTCAGAGGAGAGTGTGAGGCAGGAAAATGCCTGCATGCTGTATGCCCATTTCTGACATAAATGTGCCTGGGGTTCAGGTGTCCAGCGTACATCTGGGAGTGACATCTGCACCTCCATGAGAAAAAACCCTTCTTTCTTGTAATGCCTGACCAGAGCCGAGGTTTGCATCTATACACCAGAGTAAGCGGTTACTGGTAAGACAGATGTATTGTTTTTGTATGAAACATGTGAAAACAATACGTGAAAGGTACAAAACCAGTACAAAGTGTTAATTTCATACAAAGTGCTTGTTTTTTGAACCATATTTGTATTTTGCAGGGAAGCTAAATATGTTGTAGATAAAGAGTAATAGAATAATATCCTAGGGTCTTGTATTTTTTGCAGATGGGAATTACTAGCATTGAAGAAAAAGCAAAGCTAAAATTGTTTATACCAAGTGTCTTCAACAGGAACACATGCGTAGTTCACAGTGTAATTTTTGTCAGTTTTAACGCTTCTAAGAGAAACAAGAAGAGGCTGATACCGTTCATTGGTGTTAACTGTTCCTTTGGGGCAGACCCTGTGTTTTTCTTCACCATAGTGGTATTTTTTCTGCTTGAAATTCAGTGTGACTGTATTGTTGTTGTTGTTAATGTTAACTTTGCTGTCAAAAAGATTGGGATTTAATTATGCATTGAAACATAACTGTTGTTTTGAGGAAAACCTTTGGAATACATTGAAGTTAGTTTCAGAGCGTCTGATTTCAGTGGTGTTTGTCAGGAGAAAGTACATCTTGGGACTGACTTCTAACTGATGACTTGCCCAGTAGAAAAATTCTGTGGACAGTGATGTTTGAAGAGAAATTTTGCTTCTGAGAGTGTAAAACCAAAAAAGAGGAGGAGAAAACCAAAATATCCAGCAGTGTTTTTGTTTGTTTCTGCAGAAAAGTAGCAGTTCTGAATCCTTGAGTGACAAAGGTTCAGCTGAACTGAAGAAGAGCTTTGATGCAGTGGTGTTTGATGTTCTGAAGGTTACACCAGAAGAGTATGCGGTAAGCAATTAAAGTAGTTTTTGTTACGTACTGTGAGTCTTGGTGGTGACTTTTCTCTGTTTCTCTGTTTCTGTGCTTAACTTCTTTCATCCGTGGGTTTCAGAAATGGATCCTGCACTATTGTCTGTTGCCTGTATTCTGTTTACTGCTGAGTGATATTTTTTGGTCTGTCCCTTCCAGGCATTTTTCACACTTATGTGTAACATAGAGCAAAGATTCTTAAATCTATATGATGCAGGTTAATTCTGACATGCATATTTTAGCCGCAATAATATCCTTTTTTTTTTTCCTGGAGGTATTTTAATTTTTAACTCTGGTAATTCTTATACCTAGAGAGTTTTCTTCTTTCAGCTGCAATGGTGCCTAATAATGAGGTGGATATCCTGCAGAGAACCAAGACAAACGAGTAAAAATGTTTAACCAAAACAGAGTGATTGTTTAAATTTTTTCATTTTTTTTTAAGATGACAGATGATTCCTGTAGGTGGTTCAAGTGTGTTACTAGAAAGACTGCTAACAAACTCTTGCTCTTATGGCATTTGTAATTCAAGTGACGCGATTCATGATGGGTTGTCCTGGGAAGATTACTGATGCGTGTTAGTACATATCACAGAATATTCCCGTTAAGTTTGTTCTGTTTTTTAATTGTCAGTAACTATTTTAGTCAATTATTAATGGCTAAATTGATTTTAATGAGCACACTGAAAATTTAAAGCATCTGGATTATGAAGTGGTGCTTACACATTAAATTCTTCTCGGATACTTAATGGGATTTATTCCTGACTGAGGTTCAAGTAATGTAGTTTGGGCGTCTTCCTTCCTCCATTGTCAGGAACAGTTGGGCAGGGAATCACCTACTTTTGATGGGAAGTAGGTGAAGTAGGTCTCTTTTTTATGAGACTGCTGTCTTTTCAGTTTTGTCGTAAGGTATCTCTAAATACTCAGGGAATTCGGGGCTAGGTGCGTGAATTCAAGTAGAATTACGCGTTCAGGCCAGAATATCTACAGGTTCCTTTGAGTAGCTCGGCTATTTAGCCAGTGGTGGTTGCTGCTGAGCAGCAGAGTGTATCACTTCGTCTCTGGAGCTGCTGTCATTCAGTTGGACAGCAAAGAAAATAGACACAGGTACTTTGTCTTGTATTGCATTTCATAATCCTTCTGCTCTACTGTTCTCAGCTGTCTAATCCTCCATCTCTTGTGCAGGAACCTTTTACTTTCCTTGGTGTTCTACATTCTGCCTACTTAGTAAATCTTGGTTAGATAAAAATCTTTCTTAAAATCCAGTGGTTTTACCGTTTTCATGTTATGCCTCAATCTGTAGAGTTCCACTCACAAACAGGAATCTTTAAGTGTTTCACATTACAATTACAGACCTGTGGTTGTATTTTTGGTTTATGCTACTTGATACAATTTTGCTGCTTTCTCAGTTCCCCAAAAGAAAACATCTTTACTTTTAGCCTTCTCTCTTTTAAAGTATCTCGTTCTTCATATTGGGTTTCATTCACTGTAATGGATCTGAAATGTCTTATAGATAGAACTCTGAACAACTGAGCAAAATGGCCGGTAGTCAGTGTCCAGCCCTTTGGCAAGGCTACAATTACTTTAATTTCTCTTTGGGTGTTTCTGTACACAGCTGTACTTTGTTGAGGTTTGCTTCCTCAGGCAAGGTTGTCTGCTTTTCCAGTAGGGCTTGCTAGCTTTGAATGCTGTCTTCTTCTGATTATTCGTGCTGAAGGTCATAGAAATAAGTAAATTTGCCAAAAAATGAGATACCTTGGAGTAAATGTACCTTTGACCCTTAAGCTTGTTTTTATTTTATTGGCCATTTCCTTTTCTTCCTGTTTTCAGTCCTACCATAACAGAGAAGTATAAAATCTTCGTTTGGATCTCAGTGTTAATGTGAAGACTGGCAGAATGCTGCACTATGGCCGAGCTCTTTGAGGATAACCAGCACTGGTGGGAGTGCAGACTGGTAGTAGGGTTGTCATTATAGTAGTGGGTATGTACCTCTCAGATTGGACGTGGACACGCTACCTTCTCAAAGTATGAAAAAGCTGCTAGTTTAGTGATAGGTCTTGTAAAACGTCAGTGGTCTGCACTGCATCCATCTGTGACTTAGCAAGGGCTGAATTCTGTTACCAACTGTGGAATGAATACTGTTTTCAAAAACTTTTTGAAGTGGTGACCTGAGGAAATAATCTGTGGGCTGTATAAGTACCTTATTCAGGGAGAGAAAAGATTAAAACCAGTGATAGAGTCAGTAAAGCAACAATAAAATCAAGTTGCTGCACAAGAGCTTGCTAGACAGCTGTCTGATTAATGGTTAGGAGACCTTGACTCGAATGAAAAAATAATCCCAGTGCATAGGTAGCATAAAGATGAGAGTTAACTGATAACGTCAGCATCGGCATTGGGAAGTCTCATCCTGTACCTTACGTGTTTTGTTGCATTTTGATTAAAATGGGTCACTGTGTACAAACGGGACAACTAGAATTATGCTGGAGAAAGAAGAGCAGAAATCTGAAAGATAATTAAGTTTGAGAGATACTGGAAATGGGGTTCATGCCAGTAATTTCAGTACTGATATGAGACACAGATGTCTTCAGTTCCCACTGTTTTAGACATCGTTGTTGTTTCAAAGGTCGATCTGTTTAGTCAGTTAGTGGGTAAGAGACAAGTTGGACTACGAAAGCTATTGCTTGTAATCCTGTATTTTTAAGAAGCTGCTTACCAGGCCAAAGAGAAACCCAAGTGTAAATATTTTTTGTGATTTGATTTCCATCTTCATCCCTTTGGCAGTCGTCTGACGCTATCCTGAGTGCACAGTTGCTGTGTCATTTCATGTAATGGCCCTTTGTTCAGTCTTGTACTGACTTTCTAGTAAAAGTACGCTGGCCCTCTGAGGGATCTTGTTAGTACAGAAACGGAAATTCTTATTGTAATATGTGTGATAGTCCAGTTATCCTGTTGTTACCAACCGTGTGTGTTAAATCGTTCGTGAGGTTGAAGGCTGCCTTAAAAAGGGCCAAGTTAGAGCTGAAACAGGTGAGGTCTTCAGGGGTAGCTGCTGCTGTTGCAAATTTAGAGTTTGCTGTATCCCTCTGAAGCTTATGAAACCACAGTTTCCAGGGGATATATTGAATGCCTGCATCTTTCATGAATTTGGGGGAGAAAGAATCCCATTCAATGAATATGAAGTTGGACACATTTGTTTTCTGCTAAGAATCCTACAGACAGAAGGCTTTCTAGCTGTACCTAATAGACTGTGTCTGCCTTAAATACCTGCTTTTAGACTGCTCACTTCTTTATTAAACAGCTAAAAGCCACAAAATCAATTGGTGCCAGGATTCCCCACTGGTGTCTGGCCCTGCCGATGGAGCCGTGGTGTGCGTGCAGGGTGGACGCAGTCACGGTGAATGCGGTCCATTTTCATTGAAGGGAAAAGTGTGGTTTCGAGTGTACAGGGCACAATTTGTGGGGGAGGGATGTGTTACTGGTGCAGAGGCAGCAGAAAGGGGGGGCTGGCGAGACTGAAAGAAAAAGGGAAAGTGCTTTGGGGACATGAGCTCCAAATTAAGGTGCTGGCGAACCTCAGGTTGAAGAAATATTTATTTTTTGCTTTACAGTAAATTCTTATTCCTTAGACTGCTACTGTTTAATTATTTGACTGTTTATTACTTTTTTGACTCACTTCTCCATTTTATGCCTTAACTTAGCCACAGTGGTGTAAATATTTGAGGTAGAATTAAGGGAAGCGCAGCTGTATAAATCCATTGCTTTTTTTTTTCCACCTAGTTATCTGAGAAGGATTCTTTGTTCTTTGCCCTGGTCTCTGAAAGCATTACAAAGTAAGTCTGCGTTAAAATGTATGTGTATTTCTTTTCTTTTTGATTCCAGTTAAGCTTTGTGAAGTGGATGTTGGGAAAAAGATTACTGCTGAACTTGGAAACAATACACAGATCGAGTTTATTTTTAAAATGCTTAGACGAAATGAGGGATTTTTTTCGGAGCTGTTCTTATGACAGTTAAGTATCAAGTTATCTGGATCTGAAAAAACAGCATAAGAGTGTGTTTTGTAAAGGAAGGAGGTCTCGAGAGTTCTGGAACCGTGTCACGTGTGTAATAAAAGTGCAGCAACAGGTTTTTAAGTGTGTGGGGTTCAACAAACCCATTTTCTGCTGCTTTGAACAGAATAAAATAACTCAAACTGGCCTGAGTTCCCCTCAGGAAATCTTTGGCTCATGTGCAGGACTGAGGCAGATTCCCAGTCCCCTCTGTGGGTTCCTGTGCAGCTACTGGTGCGAGTGGCGCTACTGGTGCGAGGGGTTCCTGGCAGCAGCGTTGGTTTTGGCCTCTCCTGATCCTGGTTGTTGGTGGATTTGGGAGTTTGAGGCAAGTCTGTCTGCCGCATCCGAGAGCAGTTGGAATGCAGTGAGGTACTGTGCCCTGGGAGCTTTTGATGAAAAAGGACCTCTGCTTCTATGTGTTCCTGTTAATGTTATTTTATGGAAGAATGCTGAAGAGTATGTTCCCAGTGACAGCAAGAAGAAGTAACTTAGTTATAGTGTGTGGAGGAACTATTAATGATAGGAGTTCTGGGGCAGGCTTTGTGAGAAATCAAGTAGAGTTTCAACACAGGAACTTTAATCCCCCAGCATTCATTTTGGACAGCAGAATTATTCTCCTACTGATGCAGCGCTTAACAGAGGCTTAGCTATTTTTTCAGTGAGGAAAATTATTCTGGCAGCCTGGAGAGACAGGGCTAAGCCAAGTTGGAAGGCTTAAATATAATTCCGTCTAAAAATTCAGATTAGGGAACAATTTATGAAGTGCTGCTTGAACCAACATGGCTTCAAGGAAAATCAGATTATGGTGGTATTCTTCAATAACCAAAATGTAGGCATTTTATTTTTTTTACCTTGGACAGAAGCTTAGTTTTTCTTTTCACAGTGAGAGTCTGTCCACTGCCCTCACAGCAGGGACATGGCAGGTACAGCAAGTGGCCTGTCAGGAGGAGTTTGTGATTGAGAAGGTCTAGGGACTAGAAAGGTGGGAGTATGAGGAGTGCTGAGGGAGCTGGGGTTTAGTCTGGAGAAAAGGAGACTGAGGGGAGACCTTATCGCCCTCTACAACTGGCTGGAAGGAGGGTGTAGCAAGGTGGGGGTCGGTCCCTTCTCCCTTGTAACTGGTGATAAGACAAGGGGAAATGGCCTCTAATTGCACCAGGGGAGGTTTCGGTTGGATATTAGGAGGAATTTCTTTACTGAAACGATTGTCAAGCACTGGAGCAGGCTTCCCAGGGAGGTGGTGGAGTCACCATCCCTGAAGGTGTTTAAAAGACAAGTGGATGTCATGCTAGGGGACGTGGTCTAGTGGTGGACTTAGAGCTGGTTCGATGGTTGGACTCAATGATCTTAAAGGTCTTTTCCAACTGAAGCCATTCTATGATTCTAGTCCAGGTCAAGTGGGAGCTTTCATATAAGAGCTATGGAGAGGAGCTTGATGCAGTGGTGTTAACTGCAGCTAGAAGTTCTTAAGTTTCAGGGCTTTATGGAAGGTGGGTGATCCATAGACATTCACAGAGAAGAGAGAAGGAACTGGGGAATATTTTAAAATTTCACGTCATTGAACTTCTCCATATTCCTCAGAGCAGCACAATGAGATGTGGCTCTTAATCATCTGCTGGTAAAGTTTCTAGCCTGACAACCTTGTGTGAGAGGGGGTAAGTCTGGTTATATGAAGCTGTGTTGTTAATAAATTTTGAAGTACTTGTTAACAAGTCCAACATCTCACCACGGGACAGCTGTAAGGTTTTGTTGGGGACTGTCCCCAGGCAAGGTCTTTCAACTGCACACAAAAGCTCCCATGGCTGTGCAGGGGAGTAAAAAGTTACCTTCCACCTACCACTCCAATGCCTTAAGAGCAAGATGACTGTTCACCATTTTTAAAGGATGGTTTTTCCTTGTAGGGTTCCTCAAGTGATTGAGGATTGGGAAATATTTTAGTTGTATATTAACAACAAACCTATCAATCATATTCTAAGATTATTATCTGGAGTAAACATAACTTTAGTGAGTAGGATTTGTACTGAAATGTTAATGACTGTTGAAATGCCTGCGTCTTTGCTAAGGATGTTTTAATATAACCAATATTCAGATTTGATTGCAGCGCACATTTGTTTGGTTTCACCTTCCCCGCCCCAGCCACTTTTCTGATTAAGTTCTTCTATTGAGAAGATACATTCATTCAGCCACATATTTACCTAAAATAGTACATTTCTGAGAGCTCGGTATACTTTAGCACACAAATGGGAGAATAGAGATTGAGTTCTCTGGCTGGTGCTTCAGGACTGGGCTCTTCACCTTGGAAACCCAAAGGGAAGAGCCAACTCTTGCTGTAAGTTGGGGCTGCTTTATGGTCAGAGTTGGCTCAGGTGAGCAAAAAGAGTCTTCCCTTCTGTCCTCGTGTCACGAGTGTTCTCCCTTAGTGCCTGTGCCTGCACAGACATGGGTACGTGATTAGATGATCTGCAGAAGTGGAGCATTACCTTGCTCCTTCCTGGTGAGTGGGAAGTTTGCAAATAACAGGCACCCCCAAATATCAGGCAAGTTTCTCCTACACAGTGGTACAGACTTTCGGTATTCAGGTAAGTGCTGCTCTCATACAGAAACCCTTTTCTTAAGTGCTCTCAACTTACAGTCTTAAACTTCTAAGTAAGATTTGGAAATAAACAAACTTGTCTCTTTTAGGATAAATGTCCTCTGAACACATCTTGATTATTAGCTTCAAGTCCATCTTAACTCTAGAAATTAGTTAGATTTTCCCCTTCTTAAATATCTTTCTTTAGGAGAAAAATCTTGGTCCACTGACTTGTCAGATGTCTTTCCCTGCCCCAGTGAAGATAGGCCTTGCCTGTCTGCTTCCTCTAAAAAGCCTTATGTAGATATCTCAGATAAGAGGGCATACTATTAAATTGTCAGGATTGCTCACCTGGGTACAGTGTAACATAGCCCAGGATGACATCAATGACATGTAAAAGTTTCTAAAGCTCTTCTGTGTGTAACATAAAGACCCAGCTGTACCCTTCACCTATAGCAGCGCAGTTTCAAGCATGTTGTGGCTTTTGACAAGGTGGTGCTTGTCCTAGGCCCTTCCCAGATAACCTGCTTACGTTAGGAAATTGTGGGAAATAGCACCAAAATTTACCAGCATTGTCTGTACACACGTTCAAAATCCTTCAAAAGCAAAGTGTTATTAACCACAGCTGGAATAGTTCACGTTGTGTGGACAAATCTGTCCACTCCTCTTGCTAGGAATGACTTGCTGCCAGTACTTCTTGGCAAGATAAAACTTGATAAAATCCTCTTGAAAAGAGGCTTCGTGTGAAGATTTCTGCGTTTCTGACCTTGCTAGTCTATAATAATAATAGTAAAAATATATTTAATGCTGTCTTTAATTTTAGGAAAATAAACCATTTTTATTTCCTCATGAATAAATCATTTTTTCATAAGCCTCAAAATAAAACAATAGGCTGGTTTTGGTTAGCAAGGCTGCTTTCACTTTGAAAGGCATCTTTTGGTTTTGGCAAAACTTTATTGTGTGTATTTTACTGCAGTTGCTGTGGCTGCAAGTCAAGTTATGTTGAAGGCAAAGAGTATTTTAGCCTACTGTATTCCTGATCATTACTGGTCTCTGCTGCTTAAAACAGATTTGAGGGGTATGTCTGTCCCATATCCTTGCCTTATCTAAACTTCTATGTTACACTCTAATTTGTGCTGTCGAGACAGATGCTGCAGCTGAGAAGCTGGTTGTTAAACCACATTAAGAATGGTAATTTGTAGGTTAATTTTTAAGTTGGCATTTAAATATCTTCAGGGTATTAATGAATAGCAGGTAGAAATCATATGGCTCGTACCACATGGGGGTGTATTTGTGTTACAGGACTAAGAATGCCTCGTTTATGTAGAGGTTTGTACAGGATTTACTGTTACAAAGGTGTTCAGATGTGCACGTTTGTGAATGTGTATTGTCTTATTTGCAGTTGAGTATGTGGGTTCATTAAATTGGTTTGATTTAATTGGTCTGACATTAGCCCAAGACTAGAAAAATCTAGTATAGCTTTAAAACATCATTGCTTGGAAGAAGGAGCTGCCAACTGAAGCAGAGCCCAGGCAAGAAACTTTGTGAAGTGGAAGCTCAGAAAGGGCTCATTACTGCTGTGATGTTGTACTGCAGAACACCAGAGGATTGCGTCCAGTGTCGCTTAGAGAAACTGGCACTAATCTATGTCAATTGTTTTGATGGTCATGTGTGATTGCTAGAATACAGACCTAAAAATTAGATTTAGAGGTCAAGGAGATCTGCTACAAAATGCAGATCTGGTCGGTTTTGGCCAAACGCATCATTTCTTGTCTCATTAAGGTAGGTGTTCTCATTAGAGTAGGTGCATCTCTTCGCACCTGATTTGTTTCAACTAGAACATCCCAGCTAAAACTTTCCTGCAAGGCTGTTCTGTCTGAGAAGCTGTTCTGGTCTCCAGCAGTGGCATTCAGTGGAAACTGCCATTTGTGAGGGTCACAGAGCTGTCAGTGTGTGCCGCCGAGTGTATAAATATGGGAACCGCCGTTTTCAAGGAGTCCGTGGGAATAAAGCTGTGCAGCTCGCATCTGAGGAAACTGAACAAGGTTTCTGGATTCATTGTTAGAAGGGTCTTTGTGATATTTAACTTGGCTGGCACTGGTATTTATGTACTACCTATGTACTCTATGAAGGAGGTGGTCTTTTTCTTTGGAATAAATAGACAGCAATCCTAAATTGTAGGCTTAAAATAAGGCTTTGTGAATATGTTTCAAAACACAAAAGCTGGTCTTTGACTCTGTAAGTTCCTCTTGACCCTTTTCAGAGCGGGACAGACATCCCAGAATGGAAGTGGACACGTTGGTTCTGACTTGCTGGAACTGAGATGGCTGTATTTGATTTTTTAACTGCTGCTGTGCAACTGAAACATTGCTTACCTTAGTTATTAAAATACAACCTGAGTATTGATTGAAAATCTTAGGGAAGTTTCAATAGAATTGTGTTTGAAATGAAACTGTCCTTGAGCAACTGAAGCGGGTTCCTTGTATTCTTGGATAGCTGCTTGTATAGTGCTTCTGAGGTCAAGCTTTGACTTGCATACAGAAGTGCAGGATTATGCTCCTGAGAATAATTTAACATAATTTATTTTATTAAGTGTAAAATTTGGAGTAGTTTATGCTCTGGTTTTGCAGGACAGCTCTGTGGTAGGAGCTGAATTAGCTACAAAATGGAAGTCAAATAATAAAAGGAAACAGAACAAATACAGCTCTCATGCAGCACAGCAGCGTAATGAGACGCAAGATTAATTTTCAGCTTAACTTACGATTTATTTTTTATTCCATTTCAGGGTCAGATAACGCTAATGGATGTCCCTGTATTTAAAGCAATTCAGCCAGAGGTAAGCAGTTAATCGGTTTAATATTCAAATTTAAATGAGAGAGTGTCATGTGTCAGTGTATTTGTTGTGGTTTAGGCCCAGTGCGTAACTGAGCACCACGATGCCCCCCAAAAAGGCTGGTCAAAATAAGGGCTGGGAGGGCTTCTCTCCGTTTAAAAAGGTCACGGGTCGCTCCACCCGCACTTGGGGCCGTGCTGGTCAGGGCCGGTGCCAGAGAGAGTGAGGCATGCCCTGCACCCCCCTTGAATCCATGAATTCGCAGGGGCACTGATTGGCTTGGCCCTGGCCAGAGGTGGGTCTGACAAAGGCAAAGGGGGAGCTTTTCAGGTAGCTTCTTAAAGGGCCATCTCCATGACCTTCCCCTGTTACCAAACACACAACCAAAAACCCCTCACAGAAAACCCAATACAGTATTGATTATGGAACTGCAAAGTGTAAGTATGTCAATAAATCTTAATGTCTGTCATTCATATAGCTCTGAAGCAGATGGTTTTATAACACAAAAATATCTGAAACTAAGAATTTGTTTGGGGAATGAATTATTAGTATTTAAATATGTTCATCTAGTGCTGGATATGAAGTATCTAGGTTTTAATGTTTCTGAATAGTAAACATTTTGATTTGACTCTTCTGGTCATAACGTCTTGGGTTTCAGCTCCTGATACCCCATGCCGTGCCTCATCCTGTCCTCTGTTTCTCTCACTGGTTTATATTTTTTTTGGGGGGGTAGGGGGAGAAAAAGTGGCTGTAACGGCATCTTCAAGCTGGACGTGACATACGGGTTAATAGATTGATGACTTGTGTTCTCTGTTTTGTTTTCATATAATGCCATATTCTTTTTTCGTTGTGCCTGACTGGAACTGATGTTTTCAGAACCTTCAAGTGACTATAACAGATGATGGATTTGTTTCTCTTTATTTCTGTATGGTTAGCGTTTTCCTCTGAGCATTGTTTTGCACTTCTGAAGGTTTGTTTTTCAGTTTATTGTCCACTTTGTCAGTGATGTGGAAGTCTTTTTCAGCTCATCGGTCACCTTTAGACTATCATAAGCTATTTTGTTGGCAGCAAGCTTTTGTTTTGTCATTGGGTCACACTGAAGAGTATTTTGCTTCAAGTGGAGAAACCTGCTGAATCTCTTGTTGTGGTTACTGATTTCATCCTTTGTGTACTCAAGTTTTTTGAAGGCTTCCTTTTGATCTGTGCTTGAAAACATCGTCATGATGTAGCTTTCATGACTTCAGCAAGCTATTTCCCAGCCTATGTTGATTTGTGTGGGGGTTTTTTGTTGTGGGGTTTCATTTTTGATCTTTCTGGGTTTTTCGGTTTTGTGTTGTTTTTTTCCCTCAGCATCCTTGGAGTCTTTTTGATTGGCAGGATATGTTTATCCTGATCTGCTAATAGGAGATCTCTTTTTATAAAGTTCTTCTCCAAAACTTTAAAGCATTTCACCCCTTTATCTGGTTCTTCTAAATATTTTCCTCTTATGTGTGTTTGTGCAATTCTTTTTCTAATGTTGAGCATTATGGTATCTAGGGTCCCCCCCCCACCCCCGAGTGTTGAAGTTGAGTAAACTCTGGGTGCTTTTACACAGTGTCTCATCTCTCATTACACTGAGCTTCGAAGGACTGGATATTGAAAAATCAAAGCACTAATTTAACTTGTTAGGACTTTTGCTATGATCTGCTGGTAAAGAAACTCCACTGCTTGAGCTTGGTGGCAGTTGATTCTGTGCAGTTCGCTTCCAGCGCTGCACAGGAGGAGCAGGCAGCTGCGTGACAAGCAAAGTTAGATGCAGTGGCAGTGATCCAGTTCTCCATACCTCATCGTTTGTTGCTCTTTTAATGCTCCTTCCTGTATGTCAGATGGTTGTATGAGCAGAGGAAGCATCAAGCAAGCACATTTAATTTTGTTGGCTGTTCTTACTCATTGTAAACCATAAAAGGGAAGAGCAGAGTAAAATAATGACACTTACCTAAAAGAAAAACTGAAAGTAATTCCTTTGAAGAAACCTGTATGTACTGCATAATTAAAATTGGTGTGATGTCTTCACTGGAAAATACCTGTATGAGGAAGGGTAGGTGTTTGTGACACTTCAAGTGTTTGCTCAGAAGCAGTTGAAGGCACTGACAGCATGCAAGTATGACCTGTCCATCAGTGCTGCTTCCCAGGTAGACAGAGGCCTGCCCTGTTGGGTCTCATATGCCTCTAAGTTGTGCTTCTCCCTTAGGGAAAATGGACATACAGATGAACTCTGGGGTGAGAAGAAGCTAGACACACAATTACCATGCTTTCCTCCCGTTTTGCAGAGGGGAGAACAGACTTGGCACACGTAGTTTGCCTACAGGTGCCTTGACAGCAGATTAGTGAAGTGGTGTAGATGTCTGCGTTTCTTTGAATTGCCTCCCAGACTGCGTGCCGTATCCACATCATGATTTAAGCTGTGGATCTTCACACATACCTTGACGTGCACACTCAAACATTATTGAATATGCAATTAGAAAACAAAACAGTGTCGAGCTGATTTCCCCTGTATAAAAGGGCTTCTAAGCTGAGGCTTTAATGAGTGACTAAAAGGCATTGATAGAATTTTTATATTGGTAGAAACTCTATTTAGAATTGAATTTCACAGCTCTCATCCATATGTATGGTGGGAGATAATGAACAACATCGTTCCCAGTGTGCCAAGATTTAAAAACTGGGTGTTTATCATAGATTGTTGTGATTGCAGAACAAATCTTGGTTATACAGGCTGTGAATCTCCACCTGCTTCCCAAGCTCTGTAGAATGGTATATGAATTAATACTTTCAGCCTTTAATGTGTTTTCACTTGTTTTCCCAAATAAGGGTTTAAAATAACTGGAGATGAATTTTCACCATCTTTAGGAAGTGTTTGAGCAGTATTCCTTAGATATCAGAGTTTATCTTGACTATCTAAGTCATTGTGTTGCCTTTTTCATTGTGTTAAAGTATCCTCTTAAAGTGTTGTAGGTTTGTTTTTTTAAGAAGCAGCACCAGGATTTCATCTTTATCTTAACAAAACCAAAGCTGAATAACACTTTTTTTTTGTTACAGCAATGTATGGCAATTTTCCTTGTAGCATCACAGCCAATAAGCATGCTCCTAGCACACACTTACACTTCTACAGCCTTTTACTTCTGTCTGTAGCAAAGAAACAGAATTCTTTCTGCCTGTATTTGAATATTCAGCATGCCTGTTTCATGCTTTTAGGAAAAAATGGATGGGGACCTTAGTGTAGCCTACTTAAGTAGATGATCCTTGTGGTCCCTTCCAACCTGGTGTTCTGTGTTTCTGTGAACTTTGGATTAAGTTACGGTGGATCGCATACATTTCGGGTGAGCCAGAAGCACGGACTTGAACAGTTCCTGTGGCTTAGACAGGACATAGTGACATGAGCCTCTGCCTGAGCTTTAAGCAGGCTCTGTCACTCCAAGGGATACTGAAAACACCTTTCCTCATCATTAAAAATGCCTGCGAGTTAATTCTGAGAAAAGAAAGTAGAAGGAATTACTGTTGCTTTGTTGATTAATAATTAGTGGGCTGCAGTATGAGAAATGAAGATCATAAATAGCACACCTCTGCTAGGTAAACTTCTGTCTGTATGGGAGCAGCTGACTTGCATTTTCATTTTTGGGAACCAAAAAGAAGGTGGAGTTCCTCAAGTCCATGGTGTGATTTGGTCTGTTCCCCATGGACGACAAATGGTGTGGTGTTTTTTCCTTTTCTTGTAGTGGTTGTGGCTTTCTAGAGAGTAGTGACTAAAGCAAAAAGGTACTCATAGCCTTGCTCAGTTGTGCTGCTGGTAGCTATGTTAACGTTACCTAAATGCCAGATGTCCCCTTGCAGAACACATTATCTTACTTTTATTGGAAAATCTGATCAATTATTTTACATATTTTAATGCATTCTCCAAAATTATTTACCCACATGTACTCACGTTGAAAATCTGTACTGGGTCATTGCCTTTAACCTTTTTATCCCCTCTGCTTCACTAGGCTAGGCAGTGAAAAAAAACTGGTTTCTTGAATATTCATCTCTACCCGCTCAGAAGTTGTGTAGCGGTTCCACTATTAATTCTTTCTGTCTTCTTCTATTTTTGAAACTTTCTCTTTGTCTGGTATATAAGGGTTTTAACGAGAAGCACAGTCTCTCCTCCTGCCATGTGGTACAGGTTATGATTTAAGTGTTCCTGTAGTATCTTGTTAGGGAAAATAAAACTCTGTAGATTCAAAAAGGAACAAAAACCAAAATGAGTTATGAAGAAAGTTTAGCTTTTGTGTTCTTGATCCTAAATCTTTCAGCCTTGCCTCTCATTTTAAATATTTTACACAAAATAAGTTGTTAGTTGTAGTAATATAGCTCCTGTGCTTGAGTTGACTAGAAAACTAAAGAAATAATCCTTGTGAATACTTCAGATTTGAAACTTGTGGCAGAAAAAGTGCAATTCTAGAGGAAGAGAAGAGAACCGTGCCTGAATTAAAGGAATAGGAGACACGGTCTCTGTAATTAGCAAAGAAGTATTTTTATAGAAGTATACAAACGGCTTCTGAATTCCAATTCAGCAGATCAGTGTGCTTTATTGCAGCAGTGTGTGCGAGTCACAGAATCGCTCGGTTGGAAAAGCCCTCTGAGATCATCACGTCCAACCGTTCCTGTCTACCCCCTAAACCATATCCTTAAGTACCTCATCTACCCACTCTTTAAACACATCCAGGGATGGTGACTCCACCACCTCCCTGGGCAGCCTGTGCCAGCTTCTGACGACCCTCTCAGTAAAGAACTTCCTCCTTATCTCTGACCTGAACCTCCCTTGGCACAGCTTGGTGCCGTTTCCCCTTGTTCTATCCCCCATCACCTGGGAGAAGAGACCAGCACCCACCTCTCCACAACCTCCCTTGAGGCAGTTGTAGGTGGTGATGAGGTCTCCCCTCAGCCTTCTCTTCTCCAGGCTAAACAACCCCAGTTTCCTCAGCCGCTCTTCAGGTCAGGTCAGTGCTCATCAGGACTGCATCAGGCTTCTCCCAGACTGTGTGCAGTGACGGCAGACACCTGGGTGGCTTCTCTTCTGTTGATGGCTTCTTAAGGCGATGGGATGAGCAGTGTCAAGGGCAATGATTTTGGGCAAGCAGGTTCTGGAGAGGAGGAAGAGGGTTGTGAGCAACAGAATTTTCCCTGAAGCAGAGTGATCAGGTCATAATGTTAAGAAACTGTGCATAGGCAGAAAGGGGAAACTACTTTTATTTCATTTTCTGGTCAAGAGAAAAGCAAGCTGGCTGTGCGGGAGAGACGGGTCTTGCAAGTGAGATGGAGAAGCTGCGTGCAGGAGGTAGAAGACCAGGTTCAAGTTAAAGTAGCAAAATATATATATATGCATTTGTTTTGTTGACCACCTTTGTATTTCTTACTAACTGAAGGGAGGGGAAAAAAGGCTTTTTGAACTCTCAGAAGTCTGTCTCTCCTGTGTCTGTCCCAAAACAGCAGCGTAGATGTTGGCTTAAGCCATAGAAGAATCTGAAAGGATTGCACAGGTCCTGAGGGCCCGCGTATGTGTGCCTTGGCACATCTGTAAAGGGATTTTGATATGTGCCTTTCCAGTCAGGAGCGGGATCTTTTGCTTTGCAGTATGCAGTGCTGTGCACTTTCACTATATAAGAATACTGATAGAGTTGAAGGGTTCTCAAATTTGTTGCTGCTAGCAGTTGTTGGGACTGCTTTATTACTTCTGCTTCCGTGCTGAACTGCAAGCATGACAGGAGAGGATGTGCCTTTGCCTCTGTCACTTTAGTTGGGATTCTGTGTACTCTGGAACAGCCTCAGTCCCGTACTTATCTTAAACTACATCATAACAGATCTGGGGTTATCTGCTCTGTCTCCAGTTGACAACTTCTGCCTCCTACTGTATTCCTTCTGTATTCTTGGCTGAACTAGAATTTCAGAGCTTTAAACAGTGTGTGATGTGGTCAATAATGTACAAAGAAGTCTGTACCTTTTTGTGAGGCTGCACGAAACCGCATTTCATTCCAAGGTGAGGATGATAATGTACAACTCTGTATACAATTTTATAGCCAACCACAGGCCCAGGAATACGGACACGATCTTAGATGAATATGCTAGAAATGTGTTCTAGGAGCTCTTTCTGCTGTCTCATTGTTTAGGTTTCCATAGTATTTATCAAAACATTTATTATCTACTGGTCATTGCTTTCTCTTTCTATTCAGATAGGGAAAATCTCAAGATTTTTCTGGAGCAGAGTCTTCAATTGTAAAAGTCTTCTGTTAAAGCTGGGAGACCTCTTCTTTGACATAATAATGATAAATATGTGTGTGTGTGTATATGTATATATATGTGTGTGTGTGTGTGTATCTATCTATGACTTGCAATCTGAGAGTCAGATCTTGTCTGTGCCCGACTGGTATTAGACCTGTAATTTTGCATGTGTAAGTATAAATTAGACCTTAACATTAATACTGCTACTTATGTACTATCTAAAGATTCTTGGTGATGTTCTCTACTTAAAAATTGCCGTTTCTGTTGCTAATCGCATCAGTGCCACAAACCTCCATGCCAGCTAAGCCAGATCTGCTTCTGATGTCTGTACCGTGGAAGTCCTTAGATGTGCAGTACCAGGGCAATGCCTGACTTCCGCCTGGAGTTATCGTTGGTTTTTCACTCAATGATGAGAACTGAAGAAGTACAAGGAAGTGCTCTGAATTATTATATGTTTTCCAAGATAGGTTTTGGTGGCACAACTTCCTAGTGAAAGTTGAAGGAATAGCCCTAAATACAAAGCTAGAGACTCCGTGTTCTTGCCCAGTGCCTGTGGACAGGAGCGTCTCAGGGCCTTCTTTAGCAAATACCAGCGTGTGACACACTTCAAGCAGAAGAATTCAAGGCCTCTCTTAACTGGCATGAGACTGTAGTAGTTTTGGGACGCTGGTTGAAAAGATGTTGAGAAGTTCCTGATTTAAAAAAAAGAAAAGTCAAGCCAAAAACAAGAAGTGCAAAAAAAGCAGAGCTTAGAATATCGAGATACCAAATTGCTTTAAACTAAGAGTGTCTTAACAAATGGCACAGGTACCGGTTATGTGTTGAATCATCTCAGCCACGTTGTATGCTGGCTGGACATACGGCGTGCTGCTGGTTTCAGTAAGTAACTTTCTATGCGTTGATAACACTGAGAGCACTTCAGAGTGGAAGATGTGAACAGAAGGCATGACTAAATACAAATGAAAGGCTGTATTATGCTGCTGCAGTAAGTAAGCTGTCCCTCTATTGATGATTTTTCTCGGTAGGACTGTGGAATATGTTGTGTGCTGTATGTTGTATATATTTGCATCTATTCTGTATGCCATTGTATATGAATAGAAGAGCTCGGTACATTTAGTTTATTAAATATTAATTAAAACTGCTTTACTGAAATTAAGTGGTAGTAAATAACGAGGAAAATGATGTATTGGCCCAACTGCTGACTAAGTTTTACAGACAAATAAGAGTCAGGGTAACTTTGAAAAGGCATTACTTTATAACTACAGGCTTTACAAATAATTTGTCAAGTTGTTGAGGCCTGCAGTTTTTAGGATGACTTAAGTACAGGAATTGTGTGATTCATTTTTTATTGTTGTTATTTTTTAAGCAGGTCCCCTTGCTCCCTGTTATTCCACAAAACTATTTGCTTAAGTGCTGAGTGTTGTTCAACTTATAAATAAAATTGGCTTCTTTGGAAGGAAAAGCTGGACATAGTGTTTCTTTCATTGTCACTGCGAAGCATGACAGCTCTGGTATTTCTTTAATGCGGTGTGCTAGGTAAAATCATGGGACGTGTCTACACTGAGTTAATGAGGTGTATCTTCTCGGTGGTCTTTAAATATCTTCAGAAAGCAATTTAAAACAAAAGAGCATGCTGCCCTCCTTAGTTCAGAGTCACATTTGAAGCAGGATTTTCTGTGATAACAAAACGGATCTTGAAATATTTTCAACAAAAGAGGACTCTAATAATTCAGACCAATTCAGAAATGGCACTTTGCGGACTCTCAATTTACACTTTTTCTGATTTATTTTTTCTGCAACTGTATATTTATTACTTCGGTGGAATATTGCTCTGTCGAGTTATTTTGAAACTTTTCAGATTTGTCTGTCTAGATGCTCTTGGCTCTGAACGTGGTATGAACTAATTTTTCAGAAATGCATTTTCATCCTTGTTCCCCCAGGAGCTGGCAAGCTGTGGCTGGAACAAAAAAGAGAAATACAGTTCTGCACCAAATGCTGTGGCTTTCACCAGAAGATTCAATCACGTGAGTTGGTTTTTTCCCAGTGTCATTACACGTACACGTCTAAGAAGTCTGGGGAATTAGGTGTTCTGGCACATCACTGGTGTGTGATCACAGCCGATGACTTGAAAACTTAAGCTGTGCACTGTAAGGAGCTGCTTCTCTTCAGGACATACAGGAAGACCAAGAAAGTACCATAGCAATCACTCTGGGTTTTGTTTTAAATATCAGTTACCGATGGAAGTAATTTTTATCCCTATAAATGCTGGCTGCCCTTTATTTAAAGACAGAATCATCATTACAGGTTAAAGGCTTACCATACAGGATTGCTGGAGTAGTAATTAGATGTAATTTCTGTTAGTTGAGTGACTTTTACTCCACATAGCTGTTTTGCTCCCTAGAGATACAACCCTTTTGTCAGTAGGGTTTTTTTTTAAGGTGGTTCTGGGCAACCTTAAAAAAATACCAAACAATTTTACCATACAGAACTTATTTGGCATAATTTTTCAGGTAGTGTATTTGAGATTTATGGCTTCCTTACTTATAAATGTCTCTGTGTGAAATCAGCTTTTAAACTAAGATCAGAGTTGTAGCTTTCTCCACCATTAAAGCTGTATAACTCCAGCTATGTAGTTCGCCAACCAAGTCTCACAACTGTAATGCATTTTTAAATGTAATGCCGTATTTTTGTGTTTCAGATGAAGTAATTATAATCATCTCATCTCTCCTCTTGTAAATGTTTAATAATGTCTCAAACTTACAAGCTCTGTTCCAGACCTATCTTGTGTGCCCAGTCTCGGATCTACAGACATCTTGGTTAAATCGTCTGTAACTCAGAGCGAGCCACTGACATTTCAGGGGTGGTTTTTTCTATCAATGTCTGTGTACTTTCTGTTATTGCTCACATTCAGGATCTGACCAAATCCTATTACTCTCATCAACAACACTTAGAATATTATTTCTTAACCTTCTGATGACCGAAATGCTTGTCCGGGCAGGAGTTTTGGACACTTGCCCAATTCTTCTCTTGACTGAAGAGAAAATGTTACGCCGCAAACTTCTCATGACCATACCGTCTGTTGAAATCTGGGGCTTTGGAGTTAGGGTTTTGATTTTCGGTTGGTTTTTTTGGTTGTATTTAGCTGAAAGTCACTGCTTTTAGTGGGCTACTTTTACACACGTCTCATGCCAACGTGTGCTGTCTTGTATATTCATGTAAGTTATCTCTTCAAGGAAACATTTTGTTTTGCTGAGTATTCTTGAAGTGTTTTTGTAGTAAGGGCCATTTTAGGCGCTGTACCTTATCAAGGACTTCACTTCTTGTTCGTTATTGTATGATGTGCTAAAGCACTGCAGAAATTGGCTAAACAGAAAGGCAACTTCAGACACATTAAATAATTGGGAAAACATGCTTAATAGCAAGAAGGAAGGAGGGGACACCTCATGACGGGAATAAGCAGTCAGCTCTCTGCAGAGTGACTGTTTGCCTTCACAGAGCTGCTGTTTAAAATTACCTAACCTGTAGAATACTTTAAGGAGAGAAGGAAGGAAGATTTGCTTTGTGCAGCTGGCCAGAACCAGGATGAGATACCCGAACTTTTAAGTTGTTAAAGATCTTACATGTTGCTAAAATACTAACTCTGTTGTTAAATAGCGTTTAGAAAATTTCCCAATACTGTGGTTTTAGATGAACGTATAGGAATTCCATCATGCCAGCAAAATCCCACTAGTTTACTACTGTGATCCTATCTTAATTCTCCCCTTCTTATTCATCTTAATGACTTTTGCAACTGCTTTAGATTTCAGGGTTTTTTAAAGGATGTTTCTATATTTTACTCTGAAAAATTTATCGTATCTCTTCATCGCATTACTACTTGATGGGTGATAGTCTTGGTTTTGTTTAGTCTTAGTTTTTGTAAAAATCCATGCAAAAGTGGCTATATGTGTACAATAAAGGCAATAAGGAGAATAAGATGCTAGAAATACCTGCCTTTTTAGTAATATATTTCTTCATAATAGCTGCTAGTCCTGTTTCCCTGGAAAGCATTGCTCTGGGCTAAGGGGAATCTTACATATTTTCATGACTGCAGAATGCATGTTAGAAGGCTGTTGATAGTTACTGCCTCTTTCACCTGTCTTAACTGCCATTTTCTACTATTCTTCGTTTGTTTCAAGGAACTGTTATGTTTGATTGAAAGATAAGTGACCTATTTAATCTGAAATAAATTATAAACCTAGGTGATTCTCAAAGCCCTGTAGTGTCTTTGAGCTTGTTCAGTAACTTTCAGTGGACTAAAACAACTATGTTGCTGTTTAAAATTTTTCGGTATGGTAAAGGAGAACCTTGAATAAAATGCAGCACTCTGACAACTGCTCAGAGCCATTCAGTAGGATTTCTTTCTTTTTTTTTTCCTCTCTCCCCTTCCTTCCCTTTGGCTTCACATCTGAAGGCCTTGCTAGAAATGATGCAGTTAGAAAGGGACTAAGTCTTATTTGTAAACTCTCCCTTTCTGTAGTTTATTTTTGGGGAATACCAGAAAAGCAATAGAGATCCAAACAGAATTTATTAGCTTTAAAATTGACGCCATGACGGGAGGTCTGTGGTTTCTTTGGATGTCATTGTACTGACATTCCATATGGTGCTGTATGCACAAATACAGCTGCAAATGTTCTTATGCTAAGGTTTAGGTTTGTAATTAAGCCTCACACCATTTACGTGCTTTATCTGCATCCATAAAAGCTGGCTGTGGTCCTCTTGTCAGCTGGGTTCCTTCACTATCTTTGCTAATGATTTCTTAAGACTCTTCTTGGTACGTTGAAAAATTTGTTTTATGTTGTCTTTAAGCTCCAGCAAAGACCTGTCCTGACAGGATCAGTCCCTGGCTTTCATTTCCTTACAGGGTTTCAGGCACTGTGTTGGCTCTACAGAAGACTGCCTCTTGCTGCTGCTCTTCATGTCTACAAGAAGTACATTGCCAGTAATCTGAGTTGTCCTTGGGATGCTCCTGAAACAAGAACAGGGGTGAAATGTAGAAGTGTCTCTGCTGTGTCAGTGTGTTCTGTGTAGTTAGCAGTGAAATTGAGACAGGCCAGTTTGAGGCTCTATTCCACTGATTATCTCCCAGAGATACCTTCTGTATCTGTATCTATCTCCCATTGATTGTCTTCATACAAGGGGACTGGAGAGGGGAGGGAAAAGGGGCAAGCAGTGTTTCAGTTGCCAGCACCTATTCCTGTTAGTACCTCAGCTTTTGGCTCACTGAGACAGTACCTTGGATAACATTTGATGTGGTGTGGCCCTATGGTTCCAGATCCATCACTGTGGAGGACTCAGTCATTCCAGCAGTAATGTCACATTTAGATTCACCGTCCTCCTGGAAGCAGTGAAACCCAAGACCTCCTATGGGATAAGCAGTGGCAGCTGGGAATAAGAAGGCACAGTGGAGTAAGCAGTTTCCATCTTCCTTGGCTGGTTTGTCGTCTTAGCCTTCAGTTCTTACCACAGGTGCTTGCTCAGCAGAGTGTAGATCCTGTTGGACACTTTCTTGGGGGTTTAAATGCTTAGTCCTAAAGTAAGTAATCAGGAAAATCATTGCAACTTTTGGCTTTATCAGGCATGAATACATTTCATCAAGCTTTTGTTAACCTTTGAAATTTCACTGGGTTTAAATTATGCATTATGCATCTGTGTCTTGGCGAGTTGGGGGGAAAAGGAAAAAGAAAACCATGAACAGCTCTCACTCTGTAAGTAAAGAGAATATTAAATCACTAACAGCTGCTTCACAGCGAGTTGGTCTGCTGATAGCATTTTGGAAACAGTAATGATTAGGTGCAGTTGATTGCAGTCCACTGAGAATGAAGTAGTGTATTTCCAGCATTAGTTATGTGATAATTTTATGTGGTGCCTGTAAAAAAAAAAAACTGAGTTCAGGGAAGAGAAATCAATTGAGTCATTCCATGCCAGGACCCTTTTATTCTTGAAGAACACATTGCTACGTGGTACTCCGTAGATCTACGCATCTACTGTTAGGTATTGTTTTTAAATAGAAAAGCTAAATAACTTTAAAAAACCTGATCTCTGCCTTTTTCAGCTTTCTTCTGAAAAGTTAGCTGTATACTTCCATAGGACTGTTGTAACTGGTAAATCTGTCAGAGTGCAACATCACGTTTTCCTACTTAATAAACCATTTTTCTCCGCCTTTTGAAAATAGCAATGACATGAAAACATTTCATATTTTATGTAAAGGGAACTGTTATTCTCCTGATTATCAGATTATCTGTGTTAAAAACTTATTTCTTGAGGTTTGTATTTAAATGGGAGTGAAATGCACTGCTGCAGAGCTTAAAATAGAGAAATTTGTCAACTGGAGTCAATAAATTGGAACAATTTTAAAGCAAAAGATCCTACTTGAAAAAGGCAAATTTTTGTAATTTACTAACTGTGTGAAACGGTGGGGGTTTTGGTTTTCATTGTTTGAATGCAGTCATTATGTTGGAGAGGAAGTTTGTCTCAAATATTGCAGTGCTGCTGAACTGCAGTGAAGTGTGATAGTGCAGTTTTACTGGGGTCATCAGAAATGTAGAGAACAGGGTGGGAAAGAGGTTAGTGTGCTTCCTTTGGAAACAGAGTGAAAAGACAGGGATTCTACCTTCGCTGTAATGATGCAAGGTCAGTACTGTCTGGTTTACATTACGTGCTTTTTGTGGAGCGCATCACGATGTTTTTAATAGATATTTGGAAGAATGATCCAGAAACTCCATTAGAGGGAGTCTGCTAATTAGCACAAGAAGCACAATTAGTTTTGGAACCAATGACTGTGAACTTTAGAGCACCAGTGTAACAAAATTAGCATTTCAGATAAGGCACACGTGGGATCATTTAAAAGCTTAAGCTGTGATTCAAGAAAAGTTATGTTCAAAAGTGTGTTTTTTCTAGGTTCGACCTTAATAAGAAAGAATATAAATATAAAAACAGAGAATCATAGGATGTATTGGGTTGGAAGGGACCTTTAAAGATCATCCAGTCCAACCCCCCTGCAGTCAGCAGGGACACTGGTACCAGATCAGGTTGGTCAGAGCACTGTCAAATGTGACCTTGAATATCTCCAGGGATGGGGCCTCCACTCCCTCTCTGGGCAACCTGCTCCACTGATCTACCACCCTTATATCGAAGAACTTTTTCCTAATATCCAACCTAAATCTCCCCTTTTCCAGTTTAAAACCATTCCCCCTCATCCTATCACTCCATGCCCCAGTGAACAGCTCTTCCCCAGATTTCTTACAGGCACCTTTCAGGTATTGCAAGGTCGCTGTAAGGTCTCCCTGGAGCCTTCTCTTCTCCAGGCTGAACAACCCCAACTCTCTCAGCCTGTCTTCGTAGGAGAGCTGCTCCAGCCCTTGGATCATCTCTGTGGCCTCCTCTGCCCACAGCTCCAGCACTTCAGTGTCCTTTATGTAAATATATGTCAAGGGTTAAATGCTGTCTTAAACTGGTATCAAAGGCACTGATGCCCAAGGGCTGTGGTTTATCTTAACTGGTTGATATTGGTGGGACTGTGTGAGAAATAACGCTTAAATGCAATGACAACATATACGTATGATTTATGTGAAGAACAAACATGAGTAAAATAAGAAAGTAGTCTATTGAAACAAAATAATTGTTTATCTTTCAATATTTGGAATAAATTAAGTGATGGTGCTGTCTAACAGTGCCAGTGAACAGACGAGATCAGCTAAAAATGAATGTCAGTGCCAGAAAAGCAAGCCAAAGAGGGTTGGAAATGGTTAAGTGTGTTTAATTCTTTATCTCCTGCTTACTCTGTCACTGAAGGGACTGGGTGGCTCTCAGCTTCCAAGAAAGTTTTGCATTTTGTTCTGGTTGGTTTTTCCTGCAAGAGCTTGGACGTGTGGAGACTGGGTCTGGCTGGGACCGGGAGGGAAAGCGGGTTTCCTTGGGTAAACAAGAGTACGTGTGGGGCACCGCACTGATGTCACTGCTACAGCAAGGAACTTTCGCAGGAGTCGGGGCCAACGTAGTGAATTGCTTCTTTTTAATCCTTTTGAAAAGGGTTGAGCATTGCTCTGTATTTTCAGCAAGTGTTTCATGGTCTGGCCTACCGCGAACAGTCTCCAATTTCATCGACGCTCTCTTAACTTGAGATCAAAGAGATTCGGGATTTTAGGGCACAGCAACATGTGTTGTCTCAACCTGACTCTTTATGAAACGAAAATCTGTGTTAAAAGTTTAAATTCCCTTGATTTTTCCAAAGGAAAGTACCTCTATATAAACTCATTCATCAGTCAAAGGAAAAGTTGGTTTTCTCAGGCTTTGTAACTACAGCAGAACATCAAACTGAGGTTTAATCGTGTTTTGGGGCAGTATTTTGGAGTACTGTCAAATACTTTAGTATTTACGTATTCAGTACTTACGTATTTTATAGCAGCGCCGTTTGCGCAGAAACATTTTTAATATTTGTCAGGGTAACACTTGATCTGGAGATAATCTGTGGGTTTTTCTTTTTAAAAAAAAAAAGGGAAAAAGAAAGCTGAGCTCCGTGTCTGATTCTTTCCTGGTTAATGCAGCCTTAGACTGAAGGAAAGCCGTTGTCATGCAAGATCTCTGTGGTTTTTTTGTAGTGGGTTTTTTTATTTCCTCCATTTTTCTGGTTCCAAAGAGCTGTAGTGTTTTGACAACCCAGCTCTCATCAGATCACTGTAACTGTACTGAAAACGTAATTATTTTGGAGGTGTGGATCTTCTCACGCTATTTTGTCTAAAGAACTGACTTATCGTACAAAATTAAACAGAATAAACAGGATACTTCATTTATTTAATTTGGAATCTTGGGCAGCAACCTGAACGCGTATGCAACATTGGTTTACAAGAGGTAGTGTAGCATTACTTTTAAAAACCAAAGCAGCATGACCGGTGGAAGGATGTTTGCACATGAGGGTGTGCATTTCTTCACACAGTGCTTTCAGTGGTTTTAATGAATAGCAGTCACGTTGTGTCTTGCTAATAGTTCATTTTTGCCCCCTAACTTTTAGTAAATGAGTGACTAAAAGCTACGGTATTTCTTACAATTTGCTAATTCTTTGTTGTTTCGTTGCAGTTGTGAAGGCGTTCATTTTCTGTCGTTGTTCTTTGTGCTAAAGTATTTGTGAGCAGAGGAGAGGAAAGCTAAGGATTTAGACACATAAGAAGACATTGTCAAAGTGTAGCTTTTATGAGGCGTTTGTAACTGCGAAATGCAGCGACCATCCCTCATACCATACGAAATAAACCAGCGATTCTTGTGCGACAATGAAGTTGGTCCTATGAAACTTAACAAATTAGGATGGTAGCGTGCCGTGTAACAGGTAATTGGCATAGCCAGCAATAAGAACATAAACTACGAACTCTAGGTTATAGCAGAGACTCCCTGCCACATGTTCCAGTTTTGCTCAGGTAATACTGTTCGTGCTGTTCTTATTCAGGTGTTGAGAATTTGGAAATGTTAATGAACTGTAGTTGAAGCTGTTCAGCTCGACTGAGAGTTGGATAGTGCAGCTTTAAACTTGTGGAAAAGCAAAACCAAACTATATAACTCAGTTTTAGTTTTTATATTCCTGCTTTTTCTAGACTCTCGTACTAAAATTTCTTCATGATTTTATTTTCTTGGGAGAGAACTTTGCAGTTTGAGAGTTTTGCCATTTGTTTTGTGTCTGAGATCTCATCCTCAAGGTTAGCCTGAAAATGGGTCTGTTTGCATAGATTGTACCAAGTGACTGTGCTGAGGTTTTCTGGAGCTGTACTGGCAGCAGAAGGGATTTCCTCAGTAGAAAAAGATCCCAGTGCCTTTGTGTGAAGCTAACTGATGTGATGGGTTTTACAATGACAAGTTCTAGCCACCTACACACTTAGTGAGAAGAGCAGGCACCAGCACACGTGCTCTCCAGCAGAATACGGGAGTGCATGGCTACTGGTTATGAAATGGGGAAGGTGAAGAGAGCAATAAGACAGAAGATTCAATTTGAAGCTTAAGTTGGATTTATTAATTGAATTTAAGCAACTGCTTGACCATGTAATAGTTGAAGGTATCTCAGGTAAGAATGAGCGGAACAGCCAAACGCTTTGAAGGAAGTGTTTTCTTATTAGTATCTGAGTTATACTGGTTGCAATTGTGTAGTATAAACATTTGTATCTTCTAGGATGTATTGACATTTAAAGCTGAAAGTTGAATGCTCTGAGATTTTGAATGTGTTACTCATGAAATAAAAATATTAAAAGCGTGCTGTTGAAGCTCTGTATTTTAAAAAGACAAATTTTCTTTTTAGGTAAGCTTCTGGGTTGTTAGAGAAATTCTGCATGCACAGACTTTAAAAATAAGAGCTGAGGTTTTGAGCCACTATATTAAAACTGCAAAGGTAAGAATTTGGATGGTGGGGGGTGGGGTTGTGGGATTCACCGTGATGAAAGTTCTTGTGCTTAAGTTGCTCAGTTCAAAAATACACATGGGTAAATATTTGTCTGATACCTGATTTAGCTGTGGTTGTACCTGTTGACATGAATAGCTGTTTGGCTTAGGCATGTATCAGAGTTGTCAGAAATACTGACAGAAAGCCCTGAAATGGAAGCCTTTGTTTATAAGAAATAGCTTAACTAAGGAAATGCAAAGATGCCTTACTTCAGATATTGTTCATTAGATAATATAATTGGCAGGATGCATTTTCTAATGTTGGTGTTTCAAACGCTGTGAATCAGTTCAGAGAGCTTCAGTCAGAACAGAAATTGTTTGTTTGCTTTTACTGTTGGAAGGAAAGGGTCTGTTATCTCTTATTTCTGTTGTGGCATGGATAGTATCAACTTAAGAAATACTTCTTCAAAAATATACCTGAATTCAGGGAAAAGGAAAAAAAAAGCTCTCACCCTGTGATATCTTTAGGACTGACACTCATAAGAAAAAGGGCCAGCAAATCATGACTTAGGTGTAGGTGAACCAGCGTCCTGGCCATTCAAAGAAAATTATTCATTGTAGTGTGAAGAGAGGGATTATTTATCAAAGCTGCCTCACGAGCCATGTTCCTCCGTAGAAAGGGGAAGATTCACCTGTAGTGGTGGTGGTGCAGAGCCGATCTTGGAAGCTGAGCAGGGTTGGGGCTGGTTCATACTTGACTGGGACTTGCTGGCCCTGGGTGTTGTAGGCTCTGCTTTGGGCACAGCACCCTGATTGTGTTTGGTCTTATCAGTGGACTTCAGCCAGCAGCATCTGCAGAAACGCTGTGGGTTTTGAGACAGTTATGTGCTCCAACAGTTAACGTTAGTTTAGCTTTGCTTACCTACAAATGGTAAAAATCACAACTAGAAAAAGCACAAAACTGTCTATGGGGTGGGTTTATGTCTGTTAATTCACTTAGTGTTTCTATTACCTTGACTTCGTTTACATGGGGCTCACGTGAAGTTACTGCAGTTAGTGCTGTTTGAAGGATTTTCTCTTTGCACCAAAGCTTGTATCAAAGTGCTTGGTGCCAGAGGTCACACAAATGAATTAATTTCTTCAGAGAAGCTGTAAATCCACTATACAGTGAATTTTTTATGCTGACAGCTGTTAAATAGCTAGCAGTCCTTTAATGGTATCTCACACTATATTGCTTTATGTGCAAACTACTTGGACTTGATAGTTGCATTCCCCTGAAGTTCCCAGACTTTGCTGATCGGTTATGACTTCTGTGTTGATGGTGGCAGCAGCTAGGAAAGCCCTTTTTTCAATCGGCTACACTGTCCTGTGGGAGAGTGAAGTTTATTGCTATGTTTGGAGATGTGTCAGAGCAGGGGGAAAATGTTACAGTGGAAGTGGAAGGACAAGCAGCAGCAGTACTGTTTGGAAGAATGGTAAAACTCTGTTATGTGACAAATATCCGCCCCTGCCTCTCCTCACAAAATACTGGTTGCCCTTTATGCACAGTTACTAAAGAGTTTCTCCAAAAGTGGATTGAGAGAGGGAAATACCTTTTCCAGGAGGTGTAGGGAGACTCGTTCATCAGCAAACGTGGTGCAGCTGTAGGGTTCTGAGCACCCAGAAATTGCTACCAGGGTGACCTGACAGTAGGCATTACATGTGGGACACTTCTGAGTAATACCTGTGAGGACTTCACTCCATAAAAGGCTGTTTAGTTTTCCGGCAGTGTGTGGAGAAAAAAGCATTCACCCTACTCCAAAACAATCGAAAAAACAGCCTTGCAGTATTGCTTTGGGCCTTGCAAGTATAAGGTCTCCTCTGATATTCAGCATTTATTCAGAATCAAGGTACTCTAACTTTTTTGTCCTGCTGTCTCATGGAAGACCACCTAATCAAGAAAACTTGGGTAAGCTGAGTTTCAAGGAGGAAAAAAAGACTTCCACTATTTCTTGATTTGCAAAGGTTCCTTATATTATTGTGTCACTTCTGGCCAGAATCCTAAGGTATCCTGGTGAATTTTCCAAGCAGGTTAAACAGGATTTGCAATGCTGTGACTGAGTATCCATTTCTCTTTAAAGTCTTTCTTGTTAGGGGAAAAACCTCAGTCTTCATCCAAAACTCCTGAAGGTGGTTCAGATCAGAGTAATTGATATTGCAGAACAGCTTAAGGATCAGCATTTTCTTACGGATTGTTCGTAAGCTTTCTTGACAGTAGTACCAGTAGTCAGCTGGCCAAGACAGATTGATCGTTTTGGAGACAGAGGGAAAATTAGAAAAAAGAGGAGAGGGAAATTTCAAATATATAAGGAAATGGGCTTATGTGCAGTGTGTGCTAGAGAGTTGTTAAGAAAATCCTTTTACCCTGATGTTTTTTGCGTTCAGTCTTGAATTCGTTGTTCCTTTCCACTCGTTAGTTGCAGTTGTCATATCCCCAAAATTCTTTTTTAGTGAGAGAAATACGTCAGGTTATGTGGCTTTTGATATTTACCCTCGTGGTTTTATCCTGCAGCAACACTTTTCTGGGTGCTTTGCTAGCTACGTGGCTCGATACCTGCATAAACCTGTGGTTCCAAGTGCACGTACAGTATTAAATAGAGCCATGGTTACATCATTCACAACTGGGTTATCCTTTTTGGCAGGTTACAGTTGGAAATTCTGTTGAATGCTATGAAAAGAATTTGTTGCATTTGAATGACAGAAAATTTCTGGCACTTCTGATACATGTCCCGAGATGTATGTGTATATAGATTGATTTTTCTCTAGGTGTTCTCCCTGGGCTATGAAACAGCTGGTATAGACTAATCCAGAACTGTGTAGCTGCAGTAATGAGAAATCAGGGGGTGGCATAAAAGCGGTGTGGGCGCACAGCAGTTCACTGTTAATGCTTCATTTTAGACCGTGCGAGATTTCTTCATTTGTAAGTTGTTATTTATTCTGTAATTATTATTGACAGCACTTAGAATGTTGTTTATTGTTATTGCATGTATTTCTGTCCTCAGAAACTGTATGAGCTGAATAATCTGCACGCTCTTATGGCAGTTGTGTCAGGCCTACAGAGTGCTCCAATCTTCAGGCTGACTAAAACGTGGGCGGTAAGTGAGCAGCAGGATGATGGAGGCTTTTCATTTATTCTTAGGAAAATACATTCTGTAGCTTGTTTTCAAGAATGCAGTAATTATTACAGAAACTTTTAATCTTCTTGTGCCGTGTGCGTAATGTTTCTAGTGCCTCTTAAGTCTATGGTTTCCTGTTGAGTTTTTTTCCCATTCTGACATAAAGGTATTTTCCTTTGAAAAATAGTTCCCTGCAGGTTCTGCTCTATGCAGAGGCTTTTAATTTGGCCAGAAGCTCTTTTGTGTTTAGTTGCTGGAAAACTGAGTGCCAAAGTGGGTCGTACTTTAATCAGTTAGTGGTTTATACTGTTGGGCTTTTTTTCCTATGGAGAGCAGATGTCCAGAAGCTCTTGATTCAGTTTCCATAAGAGATTTGTAGTTTCTCTGACTGATAACTAAATCTAGCAATTTTCCTCAGAGTTTTCAGCATTTATTTCCATAGTTAAAGCAGCTGGATTACACAGTATGTTTGTAGGTCTGCTTTTGTACAGTTATGAAAGAATGGGTTTCTTTGAGAATGTTTTTATTTGACATCTGATTTTTGGCCGGAGTTAATACTATTTTTGTATAGTTGCTCTTCTGATCGAGGATACCTCAGGAATCACTTTTACTCATTGATACCTCAGGGCTGAGAAAACACTGCGCTTGGTTCAGCCCCACGCTGCACAGTTATCCAGCTGTGTAAACAGATGGATTGTGACATTTTCAAGTGTGAGAGAAATAATCAAGCGACTGAAATACTCGTGTGTGGAGGACCCATATAAATAGGTCATTAAAAAGAGCTAAAAGCTTTCAGTGAGATACGTCAACACGTCCTTCCACGTTACAAAAAATGTTTCTTTGCTAACCGAACGATAATGTTGTTGAGTTGATAAACGTTACCAGAATTGAGCGTAGTTCACTCCTGCTGAGATGCCCATCTAGAATTCTGTGCGCATTTTGCAAATGCACAATTAAGACAGACACTGTTTCGAAATACTGAAAACCGCTCCAGGGAAATCTTAATGAAGTTAGCGCTTCAAAATGACCCTGAGAAGAACTGCTGTTGTTCTGGTTCTGTCATGTCAGTGAATTGATGCCTCAGCAGTTGTACGTAACTGCGATGCTGAATGGATTGTTTGTCGTGTATTACTCGGAACAAACGTCAGCTATGACCATAGATCAATATAGCCGTATTAATCACTATCAAAATTACGCCATTCAGAACTGAGAATTCCCAGTTTCTTTTACTACTTGGTTAAACAGAAGTCCTGTTTTGCCCTTAGGGATTATTTGTGTGCTGTTGGCATATGTATCCGTTCTTAATGTTTGCCCCCTTCCAACTTCTGGGATGCCAGGTAGCTTCTCCCACATTTCTGCAGGTATTTAATTTCTCTCACAATCCCAAGCAAGTCCATGCTTTTCATCATCTTATATGAACCTTTGCCAGTTCAAGTTGCAGGCTGGCTCCTAGCAGTGAGCACTGCAAACTGATTTGAATGTTTCTCTCTTGAAAGTCCAGTTTATAAATTCTTGAAGTAATTCTAAGCCTTTGGCTATTATTTCAGTCTCCAGGTCATTTGAGTGAGTTATACAGCAATCATCCAAAGGATTTCTTGCCCATTTCTGAGACAGCTTGTAGCAACTTGCAGTCATATAAAGTCAGCAAAATAGCTGCAACTATATTCACTCCCTAAAAGAAAAAAGAGGCACCTTATATGGTTGGAACCTAGAGTTGAAAAGAGCTATTAAATATTTGCTTGGTAATCTAATGTTCCTAAAAAAGATGAAATTCATGTCTTCTGACGATATGTCTGAATAAGTCTGAAATCCGTCTCACTGCCTGCACACCCTCTGATCTCTGGAGAATAATAAATGCTTCTAATGTGATTTGCCCTGTTCAAAACTTGAAGAGAATTATGAACCTTTCCAAGAAAGTTCATAGAATAGAATATTCTGCTTTTCTCTATTTCATGTAAAGAAAGACTAGATGACCAGCTAGAATTTGGGCAATGTAAGCAAATAATCATGAGACGTAAATCCGTCTCACTGCCTGCACACCCTCTGATCTCTGGAGAATAATAAATGCTTCTAATGTGATTTGCCCTGTTCAAAACTTGAAGAGAATTATGAACCTTTCCAAGAAAGTTCATAGAATAGAATATTCTGCTTTTCTCTATTTCATGTAAAGAATTCTAGCTGGTCATCTAGTCTTTTGGGCAATGTAAGCAAATAATGATGAGACGTTTGAAGTGAGGCGAGTGAATCCTGCCGCACTCTGCCAGCACCCTGAAACCTCAGCTCTCCTTTCCTGCATTTCAAAAAGGTTGTCCTCGGTGCTGGCACACTGCAACAAGAAAGCGAAGAGCAGTCTGGGAGGCTCCAAATCCTTCCCTGCTACTATAACCTATCAGACTTAGCTCTTTTTTTTGTCCGTGTGTACGTGCATCTCCTTATTGTTCTTTGCATCCTTTGAGCCTAAGAGACAGAGGAAGAAACATTATTTAGAAAGAAGTAACTCCAGAACTGAAGAAATAACAGCTGGGTCCTTATTTGCCCTTACAGAAACACTTTTTAATGTTGTTGGCTTCTCTGTACTTTTCTACACGAGTGCAGGAGGTGAAGACACGATCACCATGAGCACGAGAGAAAGTCTGACAGGATCAACTTGTTTAAAGAGTATCCAAAGAGCCTGAAATGGTATCTCTGACTTGAACAAGACTGTGCCAATCAGCATGTTTTGAGGAAAGTACAGTTAATTTAATTCAAGTCTGAATTTAGGCCATTACTGTATCTGTTAGTCTTGTCTTGCTTTCCAGTCTGCAACATACACGAGTCTTCCAGACACCAAATGGCAGCAGAATGTTTTCGAATATTAAAGGCAAGCCAGTCTAGGCTGGTTTAAACTGGACCCATCTCTGAGGATAAATCCTGTGTTCTGATGGTTGAAAAGCAGTCCTGCCTGTCTGCTGTTTCCTTGTCCTGGAATTGGCAGGTGTCTGTCTGCAGTTTTAATGTATGCGAGATGCTGTTCATCCGAATATTGGGACCAAAGCTAGAGATGTCAGTTAATTGCTAGAATATTGGAGATCAGTATGTCTGGAGAACAATTCACTTTTAAAAGTGATTTTCTTCTGAAAGCCAGTGTTCAGTTTGGTGGCGTGATATGAAGATAGAGGATATAGGAAGTGTAAGTAAAGAGAGCAGTTATTTCAGTAGTGGGTTTACAGAAGGAACGCTTCACCTGTATCATGTTCACACAGGTTGATCTCTGACTGAAGGAGAAAAGCGAATATGCATAAGGATTTAGCAGTCTGACCCTTGTGATTTTTACACTGTTGGGTGTCTTACAAGGGAAAAAACGAGACTGGGGCTAAAACACTGAGTCTTCTGCCAAAGTGTTCAGCGGGACCACGTTACACTCTTCTTTAAATTCTGACTCTGAATTGGAACGAGGCCTTGAAGGTGATTTTGCAGCAGTAGTTCGGCTAGAAGTTTTAAAAATATCTTCACTTACTTTCCCTGTCTTACACAGAGAGCCTGGTTGGTGTTCATTCTGTCAAAGGAAGGGCGGGGGAGAGGGGAGGAGGAATGGACAGCAAAGGAGATCCACGGCTTTTAGGTTCTGTAGTCAAAGTGGCCGTTCCTGTAATCTAGTCAGTAAAACTGCTAGTTGGCAGAACAACGTGCACAGCCTGTGTTCAAGTCTGTCGTGCCTTCTGTAAAGAAGGATGGTTGCAATCCTTAATCTTTTCCAGGCCTTCAAAGATACGGATACATGTATATCTGCATTCATCTTTTTAACATTTTATTTTAGATTTTGATGATACGGTTTTGCTCTTTGGAAAATTATTTGTTGAGATAGCTCTCAAATCAAGAATAAGAACATAGGTTGGAATGTAGAAGCTGGATTAGTATAAAATTTCTCTCTATCTGACGAATGTTAACTTACGGATAATCAGAGTGAATAAATTACTGGGTTGAAATACTGCAGATGTGGCCAGCACATGAAATGGTGATGTGTGGTAGCTAGATTACTCTTTTGATAGAACTTGTATTGTTTCAGGGGAATCTTCCAGGACACCAAAGTTTCACCTGGTTAATTTTTTAAAGGATGGTTTAAATTTAACAGCCAAAATGGCTGCTTTTATTCATAACTGTCCAAGTACTCAATCCTTAAGGAGTAAATGCTGTAATTTTGAAGCAGTTGTGTTTAAAAAAAACCCAAACAACCCAATAGCAACAATAATGATGGAGTGGAGGTGGAAATCTGTGCTTATAAGGGTAAAAGAGAAATCATAACGATCAAACTTAAACTCATCTGGTTTTGCCTTTTTTTTTTCTCTAGCTACTGAGTCGGAAGGATAAAGCCACCTTTGAAAAGCTGGAGTATGTTATGAGTAAAGAAGATAATTACAAAAGGCTTAGAGACTATATCAGCAGCTTGAAGATGACTCCTTGCATTCCCTATTTAGGTAAGCTGAAGTATTTCTAGTAGGAGCACTAATGACAAATGTACTTCTCCAGTGATTTCAGGAACTAAACACCATCTTATGGGCATTCATTAAACTCTTTCAATACTTCAGAAAAGAATCTATGACCACTAGTTGGTTCTGGATACTCTGTATAGGGTAAGAAATAACTTCAGTAGCTTCAGAAAGAAAATACCTATTAAACCTCACAAACACTTCAGGTTGTACATACAGTGTCAGTTTTCTAGGACATTATATATATATACACACACACACACACACACACACATATATATATGATGTATAGATGCACTGATTGGCTTCTGGAGAAGTTCTTAAAATGTTATACCCGCTATCGCTCAGAGAGCTAAATACTTGACTGTAATGATGGCTTTTAATTTATGAGAAGCTGTAAATCACCAACCTGTGAGATAAATAAATGTAGAACTGAGGGTTTGGAACATGCTAAAATCTGGAGATGTTGCTGCATTTAATTATAGTAAGGTGACAAGAGAAACTGGGTTGTTATGACTGACTCAGCTTTGAGTAACTTATATTCCTCTGTGTCTGAAAACTAGATAAATGTCTTTAATATGTATTGGTTTTGTTGCCAAGCTAATCTAGTGTTACTTAATGTATTTGTTTAAAGTGATCAGTGTGCTTTTTTTTTTAAGCGTGGCTTTTCTTTGGTATCACAAGATGTCAGTAGTCATAGAAAATTAAGGAAATGTTTACCCAGTTTTTTTTCTTTTCCAGAAAAAAGTAGTTAATATTTTCGCAGAGACGAATTGCTCTTCCACCTAGATTCAAGATGACCTCCTGTGGTCACTAAGGCTTATTAAACTGTAATTTCTTTGTTCCTGAAGTTTGAGACTTCCTGTACTCAGCTGGGATATTAACTTTGTCAAGTTTACGAACTTGACGGTCACCTTTGCACTGTGATCTATGTGTCTGTCCCAGTATTATTTCAGTCGCTTCATAGCGTGATATGAGCGACAGTACCGTCGCTGATGTTAGAGTCTGGAGTGATACCTCAAAACTGGTTGGATTTTACATGGTTTATACTTAAGTAGCAAAACAAAAGACTTTATTATTTGTTATTTGTATTTATTATTTGTTCTCCATAGCAATTTCAATGGCAAGTAGTCCTGCAGAGCTCCTCATTCTGTCTTTGTTTTTTACTCCCACGTTACATCCCTCCCAGAAACATCCATCAGTTCCAACGTGGCCTCGGCAGCTCTTAATTTCCTGTATTTTCAAGGTGTTGGTAATTGTTTGTACCTAGAATGGAAGACTCTGCATGAGCGCGTTTTGTCTCGAGTGCAGGTGTGAAAACTGCTGGTGTGGTGTGCGTACCATCACATGCTACCCTGGTTGTTGACGTAGCTGTTAAAAGCATATCATAATGTGGTCAAGTGTGCCACTGCACCTTTCCCATCGTGTGTGCACGTACAGTGTATCAGCACTGTATGTGGTTCTGAAGTGTGGTGTCTGATTTACCAGGTGTTTTTTACCTATATGCCTTGATTTTTGAACGTGAAGCCAGGCTCAGATTGTTCCACTGATGATTATAAACGTCCCAGGCCAATGTGCTGTCAGATCTTTTTTAAATCTCATGGTACTCTGACCCTTGCCATTATGGTCTCCTGATACTTACTGCTGTGCAGAGAAATCTTTAAGCTTTGGTGTGTTTGTCTCACTTTTCAGAAATACTGCCTTACTATGTGCAAGTGTGTGTGTGTGTATGTGTATATATATATATAAAAATTTTGGGAAACAATGTTTTAATTTTTGTGCAATTACAGATGTTTTCCTCAATACATTAGCAACTTCTTGTCTAACTTTGCATTAGAATAAGCTTTGGGCTTTACTTCATGGTTTGTTGAAGTGAAATGTGTACTTCTCTTCTACTTAAAAGAAAGAAATGCTCATTGCTGTGACCCGCTGTAGTTAAAGACTGTGCTGTGACCCGGTTTAATATGGTATCAGTTCTTGTTAATGACATGAAGAATGTCCTCAAGCCTTTTATAATTCCTCAAAGGAATTGCAGATGCCCACTGGTGCACTCCCTCTAAAATTAATTTTGTAATGTTTAAATAAGTGGCAAAAGGAACAAAAATTGCCTTGAAATTACAGTCGTGATTAATCTGGATCTATCTTGGAAGATTGGTGTTGAGTCCATTTTTTCTTGTTTGATCAAAGTTTTAATCTGCAGTAAGACCTGAGTAGATTTGCAGGAGCATTAGTTCTATAATTTCCTTCCCAAGGCATTTTTACCAATGTAAGAGTCATACAGAGCAGAAGTAACTTAGGTTGCTTGTTTTACTTGCTGTTTTACACTTACCAGCTATAGGCTATAATTCCTGAAAGGATCTCTTTCTGCTGTTACTTCTGGTATAAAATCATACATGGGAGTAGTGCTGAAATGCATAGAAGAGTCTACCTAAAAGTCTGCGTTTTGGAGCAGTGATCATGGCTTGTGCTAGGGAGGATTAACCACGAGGTCCTTTTCCTCTGATGGTAAAGGAGAGGTGGGGTGGGGCTTTCTTCACTGTTGATGTGGGGATCCTCCACTTGCTGTGCTCCCCTAAAATGCTCTTTAGAAGATTGCAGTGACTCAAATCTACCACACTTCTACGTTTACCATTGCAAATCCCCTCTGGAGCAGTGTTGGCACTGGTTGTGAAGGACCCTGTGCGCTGGTCACGAAGGACTTTTCTTGGAAGGTCGTAGGGAGAGTGAGCATGTGAAGGATTGTCAGCTGTGATTTCAAGGATGAATGTTTTTGTCCTTCAGAGGTTACTAGGTTTACCCTCATGCAACCAAATATCAAGTGTGGGTGTGGTGGTTTTTTCATGAGTCTTAACATTATGAGATAAAGCCTAAATGCTTTTTTTTGGGTAGTCTTTTGAATGGGAATGGAGGCACAGAGGAAGAGATTGCTTTCTTATTGCCACAGCTCGCTCCCTGTGGACAAGGTAAAGATGTCCTTCCTCATTTTACTAGGGGGAAAACGTAAAAATGATTTTTCAGTTCCTTGCAGCAATAAGTGTGGTGTGAGTCTGGAGTTCTAGAAATGCACATGAGAGCAGCGTATCATCATTATGGACTCACTGACGTAAATGCACAGGTCTGAGCACCTACAGCACCAATATAGATGCTCAGCGTTAGGTCCCCGTTACACGATGGGATATGCCAGCACTGGTGCAACACCCAACTAGAGCAGCCACAACAAACGGGAGCTGTACGTGTGATGTTGTGTTTCACCTCAGAATAAAAACCCGTTCTCAAAGGGAATCTTACCATGGAGTTCTGATTAATTTTCGATTGCACAATGAAACAATTGAGCCATATCTTGAGAAGTAAGATTTTTATTTAACTAAGCAGTACTACCTCGTGAAATACTTTCTTACAGCTGTCTTTCAGGAGTTCTATCCAGAAACAGGAAAGCTGAAAACAGGTTCTTGAAGTATTTGTCTGATGAATATTCAGCTATTTCAGTGATAACGCTTGCAAGTAGACTTTGGAAATACATGTGCAAACCATGTTTCGGGTTTAATACAGGTTCAACTTTTTCAAGGTCTTCTCAGTTAAATTTGGGCTGGTAGTACAGGAATGGTGAAAGGTATATCCTTCACACAGACTGCTTCGGAATGGCCAGTGCAAGAAGCTTGAGAGGGGCTGCAGCTTCTCTTGCAACAGTTTTCTAAAAAAGTGTGAGAGAAAACGTTGACGTTTAAGTCATTTACCGTGCTTAGAAAATTCAGCCCCAAAGCTAAGAACTGATAGAGTTACAAGCATTTGGAAGTAGTAAATTATTGTACAGAGTATAAACCAATCTGAAGAAGAGACGCTCTGCTTTCCCTCCTCATCATCTTCAGTTGGCAAATTAAAATTGAGTCTTTCCTTTCAGAGCACAGCACTTGTACAGTCTGAGCTTTCTGGGTATATTTTTTTTAATAATGTTTAGTTAACATCTTCCATCAGCTTTAAATTGGAGGAGACTCACTTCTTAGATGTCTAATATGTAAGATTTAATTTAAGGGCTGGGTGCAAGCTAGTTTTACTTAGGGGTTTCTGTAAAGTACACCTTTCACTGCCTGGGCTGAATAAACAAACACGGTTTTTGTAGCAGGTAAGAGATTCTTGTGGTAAAAAAAGATCTATTCCAAGGAGAGGAAATCTGTCAGTTGAATGAACTAAAGCTGTCAGAAGTGTTCTTTAAAAAAAATGTTTTGGAGTGCATTTTCAGCTTTGAAATTTACCTTGAACTGCTCTTCTGGCCAGCTACCGTGGAAAAAAATAGACCATAGAGCTGCTGAATTTGTATTTGTAATTAAAGCACATTGTCTAGAACACCTGATCGGTGAGCTCTGTACCATGTTTCTAACAAATGCTCTTTATATGAAGAAAAATTTCAGAATTGTAATCTTAAACATTTGTGTCAGTTAACATTCTTGGAACCTGGGAATGGAGTGTGCTGGGGCTGATTCCCCCTCGTCCCCCACCAGTCCAGATTAAATATTGTTGGAACTTGTTGGCTGTGGTCTCTGACCAAAGATTGAGCTACAGCCCTCACAGCCGTGTGTTGTCTGAGGCTTTACCTGCTCCACAGACTGCGTTTTGAAAGCAGAACGCTGTTTTCTCCCCTCTGAGCTACAAATGAGATTTTTTGCATAGCAATTGGTATTGCCTGATTTAACATAACAATAACATGAGGTTATTCCTTCAGCCATTAGAGTTTCTCAAGCTAAATAGAGGCAAAGTTCCTTAAAATCCTGAAGGGACGTTCGAGGTGCCAAACAAGTAAGTTGGTTACAGTTCAGAACAGCGTATCTAGTTTTTGTGTAATATCAAATTAAATTAGGTAACCTGTGTGGCTAAGTACAATTATTGAATAATTTTATATACTGGGAAGAAAGCTTTAGTTTTGGAGACTCTGGTACCTAAAGTGACCATTTTGTTGTTTCCTGTTTTGCTGCAGTATGTTTTGTAGCATTTGTTAAAGGTTGGGAAAGTATTT